TGAAGTACTAACCCAGCATTTCTTTTTGCTGCTCAATCTCCCCTTTCCTAAAATACAGTTGCTAAATATTACCATGAAAAATAAAGATTTGGCAGATTACATTCAGCAGCCGTTGCAGAACACCGCACATTGCTGCAGGAAGTTGCTTTTATAATTCTCCTTTAACATCTCTTCCAGCGATGCTATTTTGCTGAAATTTGTGAGCAGAGATATAGAGCGTGACCCAACGTTTTTTCAGAAATATGTCTTCACACGGTGATAAAGCTTTTATTCTGTCTACCACTTGTAAATAGTCAATCTTCTAGCAATCTACTCAAACTTTTAGTGCCAGCTTTACTATGCAGTTAAAGTACACGTGACTGGCCAATGCTTTCCAGCAACATAAATTAAAAAAAATCTGTATTTTGTTTCCCTATTTCTCCTTTTAAAAATGTTTTGCACTTGTTCTCTTTCATCCTTTCCAGGATTTGGTCTCCATGGATTTTTAAATTTGCATCACTTCTGTTATTCTTTCAGTATTTTTTCTTTATGAATAATTATTTTCCCCTTCTATACTATTGAAGTCTTCTCTATATGCAAAAAAAAACAAACCCAAAAACCAACCAAACAACAAAAACAAACATTGCTGGAGGATTCCTATGAAATAAGGCACAAAACTGCACTTCAGGTGAAATAGCTACCAACAAAAGAAAGTCACCCTTTCAAACACATGAGTCTTAAAGGAGCGAACCTTTTTCAAAGACAACCTCTTGTTGGTAATTTCAGTAGGTACATTAGGAATTCTTTCTGAACAGTAGGAAATTGAATTAAAAAATTCTTAATCCTCTAATTGCAGAGATTTTGAAAGGGATGAATGATTGCAGAATGAAGCCCCACCCCCTTCTAATTATTGTGACTAGTCACACATTAATTAAGACCATGCATAAGCCTTTGCAAGACGTATGTCGTGTGCATGTCAGTGGCTAAGAAAGGAGTCTGCGGAGACTGTTGCTTTATTATGGGCAGAATTAATTTACTGGAACTTAAACACCAGTTAGAATCTATTAAACATACTTAATTATCCTGTTGAAAATTTGAAATAAGAGCAATGTGACTAATGAGAATAAAATTATGATTCCTATTACTCATTTACTTCATAAGGATTAAGGCAGGAGTTCTAGGGAAATAATACTTCAATGGCAGGACGGAGGTGTTCAGAGAAATTTCTGATTCTACATGCTGTACTTCCTCACTGGAAGGGTTCTCAGGCACTGGAACGGGCTGCCTAGGGAGGTGGCTCAGTCACCATCCCTGGAGCTGTTTAAAAGACAGGTAGACGGGGTGCTCGGAGATATGGTTTAGTAGTGGACAGGTATAGTTGGACTTAATGATCTGAGAGGTCTTTTCCAACCAGGAGATGCTATCATTCTATGCTACATTCCCATTTACAAATAACCATTGATTTCTTATAAGAAGCCACGAGGTAGGTGCCCATTCAGCCACTCTGTCCCTCCTCAGCACAACAAAACATGATGAAAAGCTCGTGAGTCAAGGTAAGGACAGGGAGATCGCTCAGCAATGGCAGTCAGGGGCAAAACAGACTCAGCTTGGGAAAGATTAATTTATTGCCAATTACTGACAGAGTAGGACAGACAGAAATAGTAACAAAACTAAACCCACCTCCTCCTCTCCTTCCTTCCCTGCCTTTTTCCCAAGTCCAACTGCACTAACTCTTCTACCTCCTCCACTTTGAGATGCACACGGGGATGGGAAATGGGAGTTGTGGTCAGTTCAGAACACTTTTTCTCTCCTATTCCCTCCTCTTTCATGAACTTCTCCTGCATGGGTCCCCCATGGGCCAGAGTTCCTGCCAGAAAAGGTGTTCCTGCATGCTCTCCTCTCCACATCTGCAGCTCCTGCCAGGAAACTTGCTCCAGTACAGGCTCTTCACAGGCTGCAGCTTCCTCCAGGGCACATCCACCAGTTCTGGCATGGGGTCCTCCACAGGCAGCAGGGTGGGTGTGTACTCCACTGTGGACCTCCAAGGGCTACAGGGAGACAACCTGATTCACCATGGTCTTCTCCACAGGCTTCTCTGCTCTGGTGCTTGGAGCACCTCCTCCCACTTCACTGACCTTGGTGTCTCTGCAGGACTGTTTCTTTCTTCCCCCCCCCTACTCCTCTACAGCTGCCATGCAGCATTTTTTTTTTACCCTTTCTTAAGATATGTCATCACCAATTGGTTCAGCTTTGAGTTTATCTTGGAGCCAGCTGGAACTGGCTCTGTCCAACATGGGGACAGCTTCTGGCATCTCCTAACAGAAGCCACCCATGCAGCCCCCCCATTAGCTACCAAAACCTTGCCATGTGAACTCCACAGTGCTGAAAAGCACCTTCTCCTACTGCACCCACTGTACAGCTACAACGAACAGGTTTTACTTCTTCTTAGAATATGTACTGCATGCATAGTAATTATTGCAATGAAATTCTAAAAACCCATCTATTTACTATATACTATTTAGAGTATATTGTGTTTCATGCCTCTTAGAATGCTGGTTTTGTCTTTTTAATTAGTTTAGATTTTTCCATAATGAATAACTCTTAAATACTTACACTATAACTAAGTTTCTCTTCCCCCTTCAATCTTTCATTTATCGTGGTAGAGTTGCTTAGTTTTAGTAGAAGTCCAGCTTCACTAGTTGCTTTTCTGTACTCCCAGTGTTTATCCACACTTACACTCGCTACAAAGCTGTGGCCAAATCAAACGGAAGCTTATCAATTACTTCTCCACCTGATTTAATCTGCCCACGTTGGTTACACTGAGCCCATTACTTTTGTTTGGTAGAAACCTGGCAATAGATATTTTTTCAAATCAAGTTGTGAAAAGAAAAAAAACACTGTATTGCTGTATGATGTAATTTTATTTTTTCAATGAAATGCCCTAGCATCATAAAACAGAACACATTTTCTAATCTTGAAGCCAGCAAGATTGGGAAAAAAGAAGAAAAATCAAACTTGGTTTTCCTATACATAATTTCCATACTGGAACTACATTCAGAGAAAAAAACCCCTAGAATTAAAATGTAAGCAGACATTACTTACGCAACTCTCAAAAATAAACTGTACAACTCACATATGGTGCTGTGCTAGTATATTATGCTACAAACAGAATTATTCAAATGCAACTATGCAGCTTTTCTATTACCTAAGACCTTTCCATTTTATTATGTCAGAACACTTCTGTTATTTACTTCACACTTCGTTACCACAATACAGAACCATCTTTTCTCCTTTTCTGGTGGCCTTTTTCTCAGAAAGGGAGTCTTCACCGGGGCTTTCTTTGGAAACACCAAGCACTTAGTTTCAGATATTAAAAATATTCAAAGCATTTCAATATACATTCACAACTAGATTAAGCCTCCATTTTTCAAGTAAGGGTCTTATGACTTGCTAGGAAACTAACAGAAAGAGCTGGTTAGTATTTATTCTTGTTCTCATTTATGAGAATGTGATCTGGATAGCTGCAATGCTGCAATGCCTCATAAATGCCCTCATCTGTTGGCGAGCTGAGTGTGCACCATCATATCCTGCACAAGAATTACAGTAACTTGAAGTCTGAGTTCTCTCACAATATTAATGGATAGACCAAAATAACTGTGTAACTTTTTAAACAAACAACACTTTCAAAAAATATTTGCATTTGTAGAATTGCATAATCTCATTTTCAATGAGGTTCTTAGGTCAAGAGTACTATTTCACTTATTAAACATGGCTTTAGAAATACAGTATACATAACACGTTACAAATGTCTGAAAAACATTGGAACAATCAAGATTTCAACTCATTGCATTAATAAGGAAAGTAAACAGCAGTACTTTTGGAAAAGTATTCAAGTATTTCCCTGAAATACTATAGAACAAAAAACAAGATCCTAAAGTTTGTATGAGTGTACTTTAAGCAAATATCATTTGCAAGTGCTTTTTGTCATATAGAGCAGTATGAATAATACTTTGTAGCAAAGATATAGCATAACATTTTGATATCACAAGAAACTGGAATGTAAATAATTTCAATAGAAAAAAAATACCAGCCATTTAGAACAATTTTCAAGTGCTTCAGTAATAAACTGACCAATCACCATGGATTACACAGAGAGACATAAAACCAATACAAGCTGAATGACAGAAGTGACAACAAATATACATGAACAGAGAACCATTAGCTGTTCAAACCCCTCATATGCAATGAGTTCTAAAGAGAACTATACACTTAAGAAAGGATAAAAGAACAGGGGCTAACTTCTGATCCTCAAACAGGAATAAACATGTATGAGAAAAGCAAAATTTAGCCCCAAGCCTACACAGAGAACATGTGTGTGTCACAATACATAAATCCATACACAACTTAAATAATCACTCCATAGCTGTACATGATAGTCTAATGTTTTTTGCTATAAAAACAAATCTGCACAGTGAATTCATGATTTATCAGATGCCAGTTTCTTCCCTTGACTTCACAAAACAAATTATTTTGTTTCATATTGAGTTAAATAAACATTATTTAAAAAACTTTCAATCAGCAAATCATATTTTTAAACTTAACATTCCAACATCTAATTTTGCAGAGACATTTATGTATTAGAATCTCCAAAGAACTGTGTACTGAAGAGGGAAGCTTTTCATATGTTAATCTTAGATATTTTTTAAAAAATCAAAACTTGCTGGTGTTTCAGAAGATAGTTATATTTTCCTTTGCCTGTGTCTTCCTGGTATTATACAAGTATCCCTGTGAGATACTTGCAATACATTTAAATTACAATGTGTGGTATTTGGTATCATCCTAACAGTCATACACCTCTGTATAATCCCAAAAATCATCATGCAAGGAAGCCTTTATAAATAGTACAGGATAAGGTATGATCTGCATACAGATGTGCTTTTATTGTTCAGAGTATTTCTAAACTCTTATTGTTATTACTTAAAGCCAGGAATGTGTGTTTGAATTGCATTGATAAGTTGCTAGGTATAGTCAGAATTACAAAATCAAAGATTTTACTAAAAAAAGATGCAAATAAAAACACTGTTGTCCAGCATTTAAGCCACATGCAACTACATAACACTTCCAGCTGAAAATGTCTTCTCAGACACCAAAAATATCTTGTCATGATATCTTGGTTTGATGACAATGGAAAGTCTAATGTTTTATAACATTTAGATATTATTGCAATCCAACTGCTAAATTAGCTCTCTAGAAAAGCACAAAGAATTTATCGGTCATCATGAATACATATATATAAGTCAGTTCTCTCTTTTCTAACATAACTTAGATTACATTCCTCCAAGATATATTTTAATGATTACAATGTTTTTATAAAAATGACACAATGCAATGTCTAAAATTAAACTGAAGCCATAAAAAAAAAAATCTAAAATTTTAAAATACTTGTCAATTTGACTAAAATGCATATTTACTCAATTTCCTTGAGCTGCTATTTTTTTCTTCTCCTCACTGGAGGAACAATGTCTATAGTAATTGTTCAACGCTACTCTGGCTGCAGGCAGCTTCATCTTTACAGTTTTCCTCAATTCCTCTTGCAAATAGTTTCACTAACTGGCAGTGAACTCTGAAAAATAAGGAAATTGGTTAGTAAGAAATAAATGGGTACTATATATTTAATTCTAATAATCCATTAGCTTCAAGCAGTTAGACAAAGTTGCTTGCTCCAGACTACAGAAACTGCACTCTCATTCTTGATAAAATCCTCCCCTGCAAAGAAGGTTGGGTGCTTTCACATATCAATCCTTCCCACACAAGAAGTTCTATAAGGCACTTGGATAAGCTGATCTTATACAATATGTAATATTTATAAAAATAACTTTGGACTGCTAAATGATTATGTTTTAATGGAACACACTTGCATGTAAATATTTTGCCTTGTGGTTTTGGTTCCCTTTGTTCTAAAAACAACAAATAAATACAACCACCACCACCACCAAAGCCTTTCAAAGTCCCCCTTCTTATTTGATTATTTGCACAACTGCAAACTTCGTCCTCCGTATGCCAAGGCTGGAGAAAAGACTCTGTGCTATGTGTCAACAAATACAAAAGTATGGGACTTACTCAGTATTTCTGTAAGACAAAGATACCTACTGAAGCTTAACAGGAAACACTAGCGCTCAGCGTAATGAGGTACGCCGCTCATCTAAAAAGAATCCTCCCAACACCACCTTCACCTTCAGCATTTCAAGCACATAATATCAGTTCCTAAGAAGTAAAAAGGACTTCAAAGGTAGGGCCATCCATCTATCTCAGAGTGATAATTTACAATGATCATGGTTGGCAGTATTCTCTGGAAAGGACTCAAAAAAGTAACCAAAATAAAAAGTGTATTAGCAGAAGACTCAAATTTGTTATGTGGGGGCAGCTTTCTTGGATACCTTTATGAGTATCTTTAAAGGCTTAGCATGTTTTCTGGTACACAGAGAGGAAAAACGCTTACCTCACTTCAATTGCTGAACTGTCCAGAGTTTCTCCATCACAATTCCAGGTGCTATTAGCAATATTACAGCAACAGGCTGGATGATCTCTGCAGAACTGGCCAAATCGTTTCTTTCCTATGTCTGTGACATTGCTTTCATTGTCTTCTGAAAGCTTTGATGTAAATTGAAAACTCTTCACCCGATAAACATCTACAAATGAGAAATCAAACTACAAAGAAAAAGAAAAATCAAAACAGGCAATTACAATTAGTTAAATACATCTGATGTGTAAAGCAACTCAGCATGCAGCATTTTGTTTTCAAGAAAGTCTGTCCATTCCAATTTTCTAGAGACGCTTACCCAAGGCATAGAGTGATTTTTGTTTTCAAAAAACTGCTCTAACTCAGAACAAATAAAGCAAAAATGGGACCTTACTTTTCAACAGTCCTCTTCAAGTAGCTGCAATACTGCTGCTTTATAGATAACCAGGTAACAGGTTCTGAGATTATGAGTAAATGAGGTATAAAAACACCCTATAAAAACTATTATAACATGGAATCAAAGTCAAAAAGGTTTGGATTGTATCTTTGTACCATCCTCATGACCTGTACAACTACAGTCCTTAAGACACGTGGACTCTTCTGAAAGCCTTCTGGTTCTGCATTTGGAACAATGCCCCGAAGGTGAGAATTCACAGAATCACAGAATGTTGGGGATTGGAAGGGACCTCGAAAGATCATCTAGTCCAACCCCCCTGCCGGAGCAGGATCACCTAGATGAGATCACACAGGAAGGTGTCTAGGAGGGTTTTGAATGTTTCCAGAGAAGGAGACTCCACAACCTCCCTAGGCAGCCTGTTCCAGTGCTCTGTCACCCTCACCATAAAGAAGTTTCTTCTCCAGTTTAAGCGGAACCTCCTGTGTTCCAGCTTACACCCATTGCCCCATGTCCTACCATTGGGCATCACTGAGAAGAGCCTGGCTCCATCCTCCTGACATTTGCCCTTTACATATTTGCCCTTTCCTCACCTCCTTTTCCCTCTCTTTTAGCTCCAATGAAAAAACTGAACACAGTTCAGGCAGGCAGGGGGGCTGAACTAGATGATCTTTAAGGTCCCTTCCAACCCAAACCATTCTATGAATCTATGAAATTAGAGTGTGCCTCCATCTGCCCTGAAAGCAACTTAACTGATACGGACTTAAACACTTAGCAAGCTGTAATAAATACAGACATGTCATTTAGCAAAGGCAATGGAGTATGTGCATCTATGGGAAGGGGATGGCAAGGAAGCAAAAGTGAACAAAGAAAGAGTCTACTCATAAGCCAGTCTGTATTACTGTACAGTCACCCTTTTCTTCCTTTTTCTTTTCACGTTTTCTTAAGTTTTCAAACATTTTCCTACTATTATGGTAGACACTAACCTGAGGTGAGTATGTACAACCTTACATTTAATCTGCAAAACCCAACATATCTCAGAGAGAACCAGTTGGGAAGTACTGGGAGGGGAAGGGCCATAGTGTCAATCACAAAATACATCAGTTGAAGAGACCTCCTAGGTCTTAAGTTCCCTTGGCTTTTAACCATGAACAAACTGTGAAGTTGGCAAGCTCAGCACTTGGAAGCAGTTGCTCATGGAAACAACGAGGCTCACTAAGCAGTGTGCTAGTCCAAACAGCTTAGCTGCAAAAACTCGTACCCAGGGCTGCACAGAGCCACCAAAGCCATGTCTCAAGACTAAGCAGAATGTAGTCTCTTGATAAATGTTGAAGACAATTTGAAAGGTAGCCAGAGAAGGCTTTAAATAATCAAAAATATCAAGAGAACTGCGAGAATGAGTAGGAAGAAGTGAAGGGAAGAAAAAGAGACAGAGAATAGCAAGCAGGAGGAATACAGACACACACACACAATGTCCCAGGGAACGGTAATGAGGAAATACAGGAAAGAGAATCTATACTAATTCTCTTACAGAGGAGGAAGAACAGCATCATAAACAAGTGAGATTTATTACTGCTTTTATAACTATGGATGACATTAGTCCATTGTTCAGCTAATTTCCAGAACAGGTTGATAATATCAGGTTGTGACAAATATTAAATATGTGTATTCACAGCCATAGCTCTGGTTTTAACAGATACTACAATCCAAAGCAGTGGACAAATCTTCCCTTGTCATTATCCTGACAGCTACAACACATGAAAGGAATAATTCTGAAGCTAAATGCATAAAGCTCATATCCTGGTTACATATATGCAATAAAATTCTGCTAAAAACCTGCAGTTTACAATGAAACTGCAGTTCCAGTAACTTTCTTCTAAACCACATTTTTATTCAGTTTACCAAAAATAATTTATTATTCTTCTTCACTAATCTTCTACCTCAGCTGCATTATACTGCTGCAAGCAGTTTTTCATGACAAATACATGGGGGCACAATTGTGATAAAATCACTTTAAGTATTGTCCAAATAGCAAATACATGGAAAATGTTCTGAAACAGAATTCAATTAGCAAAAGTGGAATTTCGTTAGAATTCTATGGCCAAAGAACTTGACTTAGCTAAAATGTTTTTGTTGCTGTTGTTTTTCTTTTAATGGTACACATTCTGAGATTATGTCACCCAAAATGTATAAACTTTTTTTTTAAAAAAACCCAACCACCCTGCTTTGTAGATGTTCTTTTTGTCATATAAGAATATTGGTATTTACAACTTAGACTGACTCTGGAGAATTCACTGTCAAAGGGAATACATACCTGATCATCCTGGTTTGTATGTCTGACAAGATACCGTAGAAAATCAAATCTGGAGCATTTACGAACTACAATGAGGTCAGCTGAACCATCTGCCAAATGCGCTGCTGGTGAAAGACCTTTTGGACTTCGTGGACAGGCACAGCTCATGTTTACTGCATTGATGGCTAGAAATTTCCCTTTAATAACCTTCCATTCTTCTTCATCTTCTGAAACATGTCAATAAAGGCATGGAGATAGGTTATTATTTGATCTACTCACAAAAATGCTAAAAAGCAATAATTCTTGGCAACTTAAAAGTTTTTACTGGGCATAATCGTGCACTGTCAATAAATATTTTAAAATAACCTGTGTTTAAAAAAGTCTCTGTACTAACAGAGAAAGTTGCTTTCTCCCTTCACAGACTGTGATTATCTACTAAAACTGCTCACCATTTCTGACGTACGTGTGTCTAATTCAGGATCAATGCTATTTGGGTAACCCCGCAAAGCCTTAGGCAGGGAAATGACAAAGGCAAGTTACAACTCCTGTAGCATGAAACTTCAGCAG